GCCGCCGCGCCCCAACGTGAGCTGAGGGGTCCCTGCCCACCCCGAAAGGCGCGATTCCCGTCGCGGCCGAGAGGGGGCGTCCAGCTCTCGGCTGTTCGGCTTCGGGCGTGGCAGGTACACCCCGAGCGCGCCCAGTGGGGTCACCTGGAGGGACTGACCTGAACTGCAGGTTTTACTCTGCAGCCGGTCAGCGCCGCAGCAGCTCAGTGGAGGACATAGAATCAAGCTTTAGACCGATCGGTTTCCCACATTTGCAGTTGCGGGGACCCCCAGCCGGAAACGTGGTCCCCTGACTCTGGAGGCGTCGTTCCTGAGACAGTCGGCGCTGTTGGGTTTTGTATTTGTTCTTGGCAGCGCGCTTGAGCTTTTTTCTCGGGAGTCCACGCTCCGAAGCTCGCTATTTGTAGAGGGATCATAAGCCCACAGTCTGGCAGAACTATAGAATCCTGGCCAGGCATTTATTTCTAGCTTTCCGCTGTCTTAAGAACCAGTTGGGAGGATATTTGCATAAGAAGGTAGTTGCCACACCTTCTGATAGCTATTGAGGTTCTAAGAAGAGTGGTAACAATTGAATATTAGAACGGAGTCAAGCATCTAGAGAATATTAACCAAAACAGAGAGGGAAAAGCCTATTGTAGTCATTTGAACTGTTTGTGGTCGATTGAAACGAGAATCAGAAAAAAAAGACATAAACAATATTGCTGTGTTTCAGTGCCTGGTTGAGTAACTTATTCATGATCTTTTTAATACCTGGGGATCATTTAGAATTTACTGTCGTGTACCGTATTTTTACTGTAAATAAAAGGTGTAAGTTCTTTGGCCGTCCGCCCTGGAAGTTACTTTTCAATTAATTTTTGTCTTTTATTGTGATTTTTTTTTATCTCTTAAATATGGAACAGTTCCTCAAATCTTGAATATTGAAAGCTTGGTAAACTGTCTCCTGATTTATTTTTGGAGAAACCTGTTGTCATTGTCAATGAAATAGACTAATTGTTAATTAAATGAATATTGATATCTGCGGGTGTGCTAGTATATAATAAATACCTAGAATATAAGAGAAAATTGTCAAATGTTTCTTACAAATTGTTTTACAGCCAATCTGTATAAGAAGAAAGATTTTGAGCCAAACACTAGAAGAAATGTCAGAAGATTCAGAAAAGGAAGACTATACAGATATCAGTGATGAAGATGAAGATGAATCAGTATGTTTTTCCTCAACTTTTCTTACTTAATTTGAGAGATTATTAAATTCCTGGTAAAATATTATAAAATCAATTTGATATAAAAATCAATTAAATGCTTAAATCAGTTGTCACTGACTTAGGAAACTAATTTTATTAAAAGCCTAGATTTCACTATGTGCAGTAGAAAGAGAAACTCTATTATGCTTTTTTGAAATTCGAGTAAGAATTTCTGAGTTTTATTAAAATGTAAACACTAAATCATTAGAATTTTATTTTAATGATTCACTTTGTCTTATATGTACTAACTTTGTGTGACATTTTGACATGAGGTATCAATTGCTATGCCCTGCACCACTGTGTGTCTCTGTAATAGTTTTAATGTGGCTCTGATGTAGCAAAGAAAATAGCATGAGAAGGATTAGGAGGAAAGTAAAATACAGTATTGTGAAAGAGTTTGTCTGGCATCACACATTTTTGAGAAATTCCCTTCACATTTCAGTAAAGTACAAATTACTGTGTATGTATGTTAAGGCCCCAAAATAATACATAGCCCTTTAAATTCTGTGTTTATTTTTCTTTCTTTCCTTTTTCTTTGTCATTAATTTTATTCTTAAATTGATTTGCCAATTTAGCAAGAATACTAAAGCTTTATTCCTTCCCTATAACTATTAATATGCCCTTACTAGTGAAAGAAGATGAGTGAAAACTAAGGTTGCAGAACATTTGAAGTATTGGATGAAGTATTGAGACCAAACTCACAATAATCCTTTTTTCACTTTTTAAAGATTAAAAGCAATCCTAATTAGTAAGGTTAGATGTTAAAAAAAAAATGCTGGATTTAGAAACTGGATTTTTAGAACCTATTTTTTAATTATCTTCTAGGATGAGGATACCTTCTTGAAATTTGTGAGTGAAGACATGCACCCATGTGCACTTCTGACAGGTTTGAACTTACCCATATTATCTCCCTTCTCTTTATAAGACCTTGAATGATGAGCAATAAGAATATGAGGAAACTAAGGGAAAAGTCAGATTATAATACAGAGAATTATTCTGCTTTTGTATGATAGCAAAATATAGCCACTTCTAGAAAAATCTTCTGGAATTCAAACTTTTACCTGATTTTTAGTGAAACTAAATCAAAGTGGTGATTATAAAAGACTTACATGGGCTTCATCTTAATGTTTCTTTAAATAGCTAACTCTTTAAATATATTTATATGCTTCAAATTATAATAGGTAATATGTTTTAGAAGTACATCTTTAAATGAAGTATACCTATAAAAAAAAAGGTACTCAGGAAGTTAACTCATTTGCAAGATATGGGCATCTTGATGTATGCCTGTGTTTTAAAATGTACACATTTAGAGTTAGACTTTCAAAATGTATCTTTTGTCTTCTTAAAGCAAGCCATTATAAGGGATTTCTCATTGTGTTTTCTTTGAAAGATTTATTTATGCATACAGAATGGGGGTACAGTCGTGAGAAGATTCACCAGAGACAGAGTGGGGAGCAGAACAGGCAGATTGACAAAGTACACTGCTGAGGGGAGCAGTGGGCAAGACAGTAGAGGTCTGCTGCACCATGTGATCCAGGGCGAGGAATCGAACCCACACCAAAGCAACTGTAGCTAGCTTGCAGTGCAATGTCCTAACCCATTTGCCATCAGGGAGGGCCCTCATTGTGGTTTTGATTTGCATTTCCCTGATGTTTAGTTTATGTACTCTTTAGAATTATTATTGTTAAATTTATCACTATTCATTTCTGGCTTTTTGTTTTTACATTAAAACTCCAAAGGCCCAATGTCCAAAGGATATTATATCCCTGTAATACCCCAAGAGTATTATTTTGGGACCTTAACATACACACACAGTAATTTACTGAAGTGTGAAGGGAATTTCTCAAGACAAGTTTTCTTTAAAAACTCTTACGTATTTATTTTAATTTTGGTATTTAATTTCTCCAATTCACAAATTTTGAATAATATGAATAGTTATTTCTGAACCTAATTCATAAACAATTGCCTTGCCATTTTTGAGTCACTTATAGTATGTATATTGAAGTATCCCCATGGTTTGAATTATCATCTTTATTGTATTCTAAAAATTCCATCCACTCAACTATGTACTGTTTCATTGATCAATAACCTATTCCCAAGTCATACGCTATATTATTATAGCTTTAAGTTTGATGTTTTGATTTTATAGGGCAAGTGCCCTTTTCAGTCTTTCTCAAATTAAGAGTCAAAGTTAGAAATATTCTAAATTGGTAGAATTGGCAGAGTTTAGAAATATTCTAAATTGGTCCATTGGTAGAACAGTTAAATTGCTGTGTTTATATTCAAGGTATATATTATCCTATGCCACGGTATCATGTTACAATGGACCAATTGGATACTGATTCAATTTGAGGGGGAACTGTGCCTCTGACATTTACCTGTTTAAAATAATTTTATGATTTAAAATAAAATGAAATCCAAACCATATTCCAGATGTGGTCTTATTGATGCAAAGTAATGTTAAACCATTGCTTTCTATATTTGACTTACTACATTTCTACTAACACTGGCTGAATGATGGGCCCATGAGATCCTGCTTTTAAAAATAAGCTTTTGATTTGCATATAATGAAATTCATTCATTTTAAGAATACAGTTCAGTGACTTCTAACAAAAGTAAGTTGGTTAAGCATCACCAAAATTGAGACACAATACATTTCCATCACCCCCAAAAGTTTCTTATACCTCTTTACAGTTGACCATCCAACTTTTTATTCCCGCCTCTAGGAGATCCCTGCTTGCTAATTCTCCATTATAATTTGATATTTTAGAATTTCATAGAAGCAAAACCATACATCATGTTGGGTTTTTTGTCTTCTTTGACTTAGCATAATGCTTGTGAGTTTCTCCATGCTTTTGATGTATGAGCAGTTCATTCCTTTATATTGCCAGAGTACTGTTGCATTAGGTTACTAGACCACAGTTTGTTCATTGTTGAACATTTGGATTGTTTCCAGTTTTGGGCTATTGCAAATAAAGCTCATGTGAATACTGTGTGCAAATCTTTATGTGAACATTTTTCGTTTCTCTTAAGCAAGTACCTCGGAGTGGCATTATTAGGTCATATATTAAATGTATATTTAGTCTTAGCCTTCTGTTTTCTGAAATGGCTTTATCATTTTGCATTCCCGTCAACAATGTGTGTCTATCTTGCTGAGAATTCTTTTTTTTTTTTTTAAGATTTATTTATTTATTCATACAGAACTGGGGTACAGGCCAGAGATGTGGAGGGTGAGAGGATTCACCGGAGACAGAGCGGGGAGCAGAACAGGCAGATCGATGAAGTACACTGCTGAGGGGAGCAGCGGGCGGGTCAGGAGAGGTCTGCCTTGCCATGTGGATCTCCTCCGGGGCAGGCGGGGATCGAACTCATGAGGAAGTGGCTTAAGCTTCTTCGTGCAGTGCTTTAACCAGCTGTGCCACCAGGGAGGGCCCGCTGAGAATTCTTATTATTCCATTCCAAGTATGCTTTCCATTATCTCATAACATGAATGTAACAACTTCCTTAAAGATGTAATCAGTTTCAATATCTGGGTCATCTTGATGTTGGCATTTTGATTGTCTTTTTCATTTGCATGAAAACTAGCCATGTTTCTGATTCTTAGTTAGGAAGGATCTTTATGAACAAGTATTCACTATGAAGAATTACACAGATTCTGAGTCTTTCTGGACAATGTCTGTTTTTCTTCCATCAGGCAATCAACTATGTTAGTTTCACTGTAAGTTCTTCCTCCCCTTCTGTGGACAGTGTTTCAAATTTCAATTCAAGGCTCTAAGACTTAGCTAAGTTGATTTGATTCTCTCCCATATCTTCCAATTCAGGAGCTGGGAGACTTGGGTAAATGGTTCACATTCTCATTGTTTTTGAGAGTCCCCTATATAGGTAAAGGGTTAGTCTGAGACTAGTGCTGTTTCATTCATAGAATTAGAAGAACCTGGTTCTTTCACCAGGTTACCTCTGTTCTGTGAGGACACTTCTGTTAAGGAAGAATGGGTTTCTATCTGAAATGTACCCACTTGACCTTCAGGCCATGAGAAAAGGCTAGAGGAGAAATCTCACCTCTCTGCAGGGCCTACTCTACATTTTGACTCCACAACTCCTTGCTTTAATTTACTTTCTGTGTTTTTCCATCTAGAGCTGACTTATAATCAGTGAGAGAAAAAACTGTGTAAGAGACTTCGGCTGCCATAATGGGACTAATTTTGTTAACTTGATTTAATGACAGCCTTGTGAATTTTACATGTGGATCGTGGATTTTGTTGTATTTTATTAAAGAGTATTGGACTTCATCCTAAAAATGCAGTTTAGAATCAGTTTAATTATTCCAGGGCTTCCTTTTCAGCTATGTTATGTCATTCCCATGTAGACTAAGTTCTTACCATTCAGGTCTCAGCTCAGATGTCACTCTACAGAAATCTTACCTGACTACCCTACCTAAAATAGCACTTCCCCTACCTGTTACTCCCTTTCAGTTGCATTTCTCCCATTTTTTCTGTATCGCCATCTGAAATTACCTTTTTTCTAGCTGCTTTATTTTTTTTAAGATTTATTTATTTATGCATACAGAACTGGGGTACAGGCCAGAGGTGCAGGGGGTACTGAGGGATTCACCAGAGACAGAGTGGGGAGCAGAACAGGAAGATGGACAAAGTACAATGCTGAGGGGAGCAGTGGGCAGGTCAGGAGAGGTCTGCTGTGCCATGTGGATCACCTCTGGGGCAGGGGATTGAACTCACACTGAAGCACTGCGGCCAGCTTGCAGTGCTACATCCCAACCGTTGCACCACCAGGGAGGGCCTTCTGTTTGCTTTATGTCCTGCTACAGTGTAAGCTCATGATGACAGGGATATTGTCTGTCTGTTTCACCTCTGTGTGTGATCTATATCTGTTTAGTGTTCTTGGTACGTAGTTGATGCTTAATAATTGTCAAACACATGGATCTGTGTAACAATCCTGAGAAGTTAACAAGAGAAGGTGATGTTATTCCTTATCTACATGTTGTTAAAGATTTATGTTCAAAGAGGCTTCACTTGCCAACCAGAACTATATAGACCAAAGTGATAGAATAAAACTCAAGTTTGTCTGATTCCTAGTCTACATACTATATCTGCTGGCATGCAAAAATAGCCAAAACGTAAATTTAGGCAAAAGGGGACTTTTCAGAAGTGGAAGAACATTAGGTTCAGCGAGACAAATAAAGAGCCAAGTATGTGAAAAGGAAAAAGAAAAAAAGCATCTTCAGCATCATAAAAGACAAGGAAAATGAGATTAAGAAGGTACCAGATTAGTACCCCACGTGCATCCCTTTGAAAGAGACAGGACACAAGGACACCCCATGGTATTCTTCTATGTGAATTATTTTCCTTGTTATACTGTGACCCTAGAGAGAACTGAGAAGAAGTTTTGACTAGAATTCACCAGCAGCCTTTGACATGCACTGCTAGGTGGTAAGGAACTATAGCTAGTGGGTTTACTTAACTCATTAGACAAATAGTTGCCTCAGTGTGTTTAAGAAGACGTAAATGTAGATAATTTACTGGAAAAGTTGCAAGAAAAAATACTTTGAGATAGCAGTGAGAATGTAGCAGAAATTGATAGTAATGATGTCAACAACTAACGTTATGAAATCAATTATTATATAATTTCATTAATACTCATTTTTTAAGTGCCTGAATTATAAGTATTCAGAACTTAATGGTGTTAGAAAGAAAAAAAAAAGGAGCTGTATAAAAAGTTACAGATAGTAGGAATTGGAATTTGTCTTTGTGTCACTCACGATTGTGTTTGAATCTTTTTTCAGCTGACTCTCTTAGTGACCCGTTTTTCCCCCGAACTACACAGATACTACTGGAATATCAGCTGGGGAGATGGGTGCCACGTCTCCGTGAACCCCGAGACTTATATGGTGTTTCCTCTTCTGGCCCATTGAGCCCAACCCGGTGGCCTTACCACTGCGAAGTCATAGATGAAAAAGTCCATCATATAGGTACAGTCTCAGCAGTTTGGGGAGTCACACATTAGCAAACATACGCTGCCTGCCTGACTGCCTGCTCATTTCTCTAATACTGTAGTTTCTGGGATATCGCTTCACACCTCACGCATTGTACACGTGATGAACTCGCCAAAGCCCATAGCTCCTGTGCCCTTTCGCTATCACGTAATCCTCTTCTTTCCTGGTAACCATTTTATTTGTCAAAGTCCATTTCTTCCTTAATGTTAGAATTACATTATGCTCTCTACAGTATATCAACTAGCATTGATGTATCATTAAATCTCATTTCCAATTTTATCAATCATACTTCCTTTTCTTGACTGGAATTTTAGTATAAAATTAATGACACAAATAATAAGGAGCTACTCACTATAATGATTTCAAACAAAGTGCCAGCAAATGAAATGTTACTGGTTTTGATACCATGTTACAAGGCTTGTTACTTCCAGTGAGCCCTTGGTAAAACCCATCCCCTCAGAAAGCACTAAATTGTAGCCTTAGTCTACCAATGAATAGTTTGAAGTTATAGAACAGCAGTTTCCATTTTATTTTGAAGTCTCATTCAAGTAGTGTTTTCTGTTTTTCCAGACTGGACTCCCTGTCCTGAGCCTGTGTACACCCCAACAGGCCTGGAGATAGAACCCTCTTACCCACACTCCAAGGAAGACACTGTGGTTTATCTAGCTGAAGATGGTAAGCATATAATGAGACATGTTATTATAAAACAGAATTGCATACCTGGGTTAATATCTTAGATTTGTGCTTCACTGTGAAAGTTTCTTATTTCCAGCTATCACTTTTCTCACATCAATGTTTGATAATTGCTCCAAAACTGATTTAGTGCTAATTATATTCTTGAAAGTATACAGCAGTTTATGTAAATGTACTTTAAAATAAATTACTTCTAAATAAATATATAGATTTTAAATATATTTAAACTATAGATTATATATATATATATATATATATATATTTAAAATAAATAGATAATTTAGAAGGAATTATGCTTCTCGTCCACATTCATTTAGAGTGAAAGACAAGTTCAAATCCTCCTACTGCAACCTAACCAGAGTGGAATGAAAACTATTAATGTGAGAACTATCTGAATTTCTTTTAGACATTGCCTAAATATTCTAAATTTTGTCTAAGCACTCTTAAGACTTTCTTACTGCAACAAATACCTATGTAATTTAGTGGCAAAATACTTAGAATTTATGATCCTCAGGGATACGTCAGTTATACTTGCACTGTCGTTCCGCACTGTGGAATAGCCTGTACCTCAGTCGTGGCTTGTCTTTGTGGTCTTCTCTCGTCAGTTTACAAAGAGCCCTGTTTTGTGTATTCCCGAGTTGGTGGCAACAGAACACCCCTGAAACAACCTGTGGATAACTGTGACCATACTCTGATGTTTGAAGCAAGGTTTGAGAGTGGAAATCTACAGAAGGTAGTCAAAGTGTAGGTCTTTATTTTTATTTGAGGCGCTAGACCATCCGCTATTATTTTCTTTGTTAGGTATATTTGAGTTTTAGTACCTATTCTAAAACGGTAACTCCTTGAAGTATAGATACTAAAGATTACTTGGGGAGAGGAAGAAGTTAATGGTTCTGGGTTCAAGTAATTTTGAGAAAAATAGAAGTTGAAATTAAGCAGGTTTCAGTACTATACATTTTTAGTAGACGAGTGTGAATCGTCACACAGACTGCTTCTCAAACTTTCTTTTTTACTCTCTCACTTTTTTTAAAATTTTTATTTTATAACAGTTTATTTCTACATCATTTTGTACATTTTTTTTTCCATCTCAATTGTAATCACCACGGGTTTCCCATCACCAAGTTACCCATATGCATTCACCATAATCCCGTGCATCCCCCCCCCCATTTTTGATCCCATTCCCCACTCCACCCCCGCAAAATGTCTCTGGTATATGGTTGTTCATTATTCTTGTTATTTTCTCACCTGGTCCATTATACTACTGCTATGAGTGAAACCATCCGGTATTTTTCTTTCTCTTTCTGGCTTATCTCACTAAGCATGATTGCTTCTCAAACTTTTTAATCAAACAGTTCTTAGGATAATATTCCATATGCTTGGGAATAGACATGCTACCCAAGGATATTCTTTTCAAAGAGTTTTTTATTATGAAAAATTTCAAGCATACATTGCAGTATAGAGAATAATGCATCTCTGCATTAGCTGCTATTTACCCGTCACTGAGATCCATGAAGGTATTGCAGCAGCACTGAGTGCATCTTGTCCTTTGTCAGTTTTTCTAACTACAGTCACACACCATACAAAATAAGTACATAGTGGGAAAATTACTAGTTTAAAAACAAAAGTCACAGCACGTAAGATTGCTATGTGTATGGGAATATGTACATATATGTAATGTAGCACTGAAACTATTCTTTGCCTTTATTTGATATCCTCAATGTCAAAGTAATGAGTGTGCAAAGTTATCAGATACAGCCCCTGTCCACAGTGAGTTTAAAACTTCATAATCTATGCAGTCAAATTAATTTATATGTTTTTCAACTTTCTTCATGGTAATTAACTTAGGTCCCTAGAGTTAGAATCTAATAGAAAAAAGAAATATATGTCTGAAGTTAAAAACTATATATTGGATTTTAATTCAGTTTTAGGAATTCTTAATTGTATTTTTCATAGGAAACATAATTAGACTGAAATATATAATTTTTATTACATTTTTATATACTTTCTTGAATGACAAAGAATTAAAGAGTCGCTAGAATTAACATAGAAGCAATTTTACATCCAATGAAAGAGAAAATGTGAAAACTTTCATCTTTTGCAGCTACTTGTATACAACCTAAATAAATACTGTTTCCCATTTCTTTGAATAGGTAAAAGTAAAATAACTTTTCTTATTTAAATTTGACTACCAGTTTTACATTGTAATATGCTTTCCTCCCTCCCTCTTCTGTGTATTAGGGCAGATTATGAGTACCTGTTAACGGTGCGTCCTGATCTTTTCACAAACAAACACACCCAGTGGTACTATTTTCAAGTCACTAACACCCAAGCAGGAATCGTCTACAGATTCACCATCATCAATTTCACCAAGCCCGCCAGTCTCTATAATCGGGGAATGCGCCCACTGTTTTATTCTGAAAAAGAGGCCAAGACTCATAATATTGGTTGGCAGAGGATAGGAGACCAAATCAAGTACTATCGAAACAACCTCGGGCAGGACGGGCGCCATTATTTCTCTCTCACATGGACATTTCAGTTTCCACATGACAAAGACACCTGCTACTTTGCTCACTGCTACCCATACACTTACACCAACCTGCAAGAATACCTTTCTGGCATCAGCAATGACCCAGTACGGTCAACATTTTGTAACATACGTGTCTTATGCCACACGATCGCCAGGAACATGGTGTATGTTTTAACGATCACCACCCCCTTGAAGAACTCTGACTCGAGAAAGCGAAAGGCAGTGATTTTGACCGCCAGGGTCCACCCTGGAGAAACCAACAGCTCTTGGATGATGAAAGGCTTCCTAGATTATATTTTAGGAGACTCAAGCGATGCACAGCTGCTGCGGGACACGTTCATCTTCAAGGTGGTGCCCATGCTGAATCCAGATGGTGTGATTGTGGGAAATTACCGGTGTTCCTTATCTGGACGGGACCTCAACCGGAGCTATACGTCTGTCCTTAAGGAGTCATTTCCTTCTGTTTGGTATACCCGGAACATGATCCGTAGGTAAAATCAACCTCAAATTGCCTCTGCTGTTTATTAAGCTGGTAGTAAGACTTTTGCTCCCATAATCCTACTCGTTTTACTTTAGCTTTTCTTGAGCTAGTTTAATAATTTCCCTCTTCGTCCCAGTCCTACTTCTGGATCTTTCTAGCATTATGTCTCTGGTTTCATTAGCTTTCTCTTAAATAATGCTGGTCCAGCACAACATGGATTACAGGGCAAGGCCCCCTTGCTTGTCTCTTCTCAGATTGCCTAGTAAAGAGATTGAGGCAGGAATCTAGTCAGTAAGTCTCAGAATGACTGCCAACAAAGAGGATCACCGTGATGCAGTGATGCATAGGCAGGCAAGAAGTCAGTCAGGCATGTGTGGGAAGGTGAGCAGCTGTCAGAATATCTGAGATGGAGCATATTGAAAGTACATGCGAATAAGAGACAGTCAATTTCAGCATGAGCTACTTAGGATATCCTAGTCACCTGTGAGGGAAAATAAAACCTTCTAATGGTTTCTAAAGCATTTTAAATTAATGAAAAATGAGAGATCTTGATAGCCTGTTTTGCTTCAGAAGTCATAACATTTCTTCGGAAGTTAATGACTTAGAGGTAAGGTTTTTTTGATTCATCAGAAGGGAAAAGATGATTAAAACTGGGAAAATATTGGCTTGAAAAAGTATAGCACATTTCATGTTTAAGGACCTTAGTTGATCTTTTTACTTTATAATCTAGTTTTCTAAAAGTGTAAAATGGTCATTTAGTGGCTTTAGATCAGTCTTATATTATCAACTCTAATCAATTGGTCACCAAATGATAAAAGGGCAATAAAATTAATACAGGTGACAGATTTTAGTTTAGATTTTCACTTGAGTTTAAAGGAGTTATTTGATGCCATAGCTGTGCTTTGAATATTTGATTTTAGGTTTTAATATCTTTGTAATAAAGGCAGGACATTTCATAAAACTATAAATACCATTGCCAATGGTATTTCTCCTCCAAATATAACAGCTTATGTAATTTTTGATTACATACTATAACAATGCTGTACAAAGTTTCTAAATATGGGGAGAGGGTAAAAATGCTCATAATCCTGTGACCACCTTTTCATATTCTTTAAAAGCCATGACTGTTGTTTTCACCGATCCATCTGAGGAGCTTATTTTTTTTATTACTTTCATAGTCATTGAGTGCTTAAGTTATATAGTTTAAGGAGTGTACTCTTAAGATATGTATAAGAATCCCTCAAAATATTTATTATGAATTTATCAGATAAAAAAAGTCAATTCAAACGTTGGTACCATTTTCACAACCTGTTACCACATTTAATCAAGCGTTAACTATTCATTAGCTTCAACACCAAATTATCAAGAATTTAGCTTTCAACAAATATGTGGGAACTTGAATGCATAATACTGTTCTAGGTGACTGAAGGATTCCCTGAATTCAAGAAGATTAAATGTAAAAAATGTAAACATTTACCTAGGCAGGTGCTTTGTAAATGGTAGGAATAATAAATGCTACAGGAGCTAAGAAACAGAAAAGCCTATGTGCTTGACTGGTTAGCAAATAAGTAAGACTTGAGACTGGTTTCGAGAAATAAAGGCAAAGATTAAGAAAGAATGTATTCCAGCTAGGAAAATATAGGCATACGCATAAACTTTTCTGTGTGCAATAGAAGAAACTAGAGGAATTTGTTGTAGAAAGTGCTGGGAATAAGTGACATTTTTCCTTAAAATGGAAAACCAAAGCATTCATATTTTCAATATAGTTAATAGGAAATTATTGTGCATGTTTTAAATTTTATATGCTAGTACTAATCTGTAGAATAAATAAGAAGAGAAAGAAATGTAAAACTAAGTTACAAGACATTGTATTTATTTGAATGGTACGCTTATAAATCCATAGTTACACTCATAGAAGAAAAATGCAGCAGTAAAATTGAATAATATGTTCTTTTTCTTCTTGGTAGGTTAATGGAGAAGAGAGAGGTGGTTTTATATTGTGACCTTCATGGCCACAGTAAGAAAGAGAACATCTTCATGTACGGCTGTGATGGCAGTGACAAATGCAAAGCGTTATACTTACAGCAACGAATCTTCCCTCTGATACTAAGCAAAAATTGTCCAGATAAAGTAATCACCTTTTCAAATTTTTAGCTTTAGTAAATGTTGTCCAAATGAGCCAGCAGAATAGATGATTTTATTCAGTAATTTTCATTATGTAGTTACATTGACTGGTTTATACAATTGACCACCACCACCCAAAAAAAAGCAACTATGGAAATATTTAGTGGCCAATAAATATTTGAAATGTGAAGAATTGTGCTACCACCATACTGCTGATAACAGGTTGTTTTCCACCTAAGGTCAGAAACAAGCCAAGACAGCTGCTCTTACTCCTTCCATTCAGGCTTGTAGTGGAGGTTCTAAATAGTGTAGTAAAAGAAATAAATGGCAGACTGATTGGAAAGGAAGAATAATGAAGACAGCAGGATTTTCTTCATAAAAGATCAAAAGTAATGCACTCACACAAAAATGACTCCTAGAACTAACAAGTGAGAGCGATGTCATAGCTTTCAACTTAGCCTACAAAAATCTGTTGCATTTCTACATATTTACAAGGAACAACTGTTCATTGTAAAGATTTAAGGCAAGATGTACAATACCATTAACTATAGCTACAAAATAAGCAACATACGTGGCTACAAAGGGGTGGCACCAGAGAGCTGTGGTAGTGGTTACACAAATCTAAGGATGTGTTAAAATCCATAGACTACCATATCCCCCAAAAAGTCCATTTTATTGCATGTTAAGTTTTAAAATTACAGAAACTCTTTGTAGACACTGACATTGTCACAGTCTTTCCAGACAGATTACATGTGGTCTCTTCTATGAAGATAGCCTATTCTGACAAATGTCCAATACTGTGATCTTCATTTCCACATGTTTATCCAGTAGCTTTTTCAAGATGTTATTTCAAAGGATCAAGAATTAATAACTGGTTTTGAATGCATGCTACCTATAGATTAAAAAGTAAAATGTATGGCAGGAATTAAAATCTATTAAAATCCTCAGGGATCATGAGGAATATCATCCTTGAGTTATTCCTTCTGGTCAAAAAATAAAAGCAGCCCATAGAGCTTGAGAGAATTGCTGTTTGTGATCACTGCCTTTTCTTTTTCAAGCCTGCTTCCTAGGAAAGACATCTGCTGTCAAAATAACAAGTGGCTCCTTTTTATTTGCATCTTTCCAGTTTTCATTCACAGCTTGCAAGTTTAACATTCAGAAGAACAAAGAGGGGACAGGAAGAGTAGTCATGTGGAAAATGGGAATCAGGAACAGCTTTACCATGGAGGCCACTTTTTGTGGATCTACTCTGGGTAAGACCAGTCATTACTCAGAGCTTAAGCCAAGGAAATCTTTTAATTTATGATTAATAATGTAAATAGTCCGATCGGGAGCACTTACCACTTAGATGCATACTAACAACCTGATCATTTTAGAAAATGGGTGAATAAATGAGCTGCTTCTAGAGCTCATCTTTTTCCTTTGTCTAGAAAAGATATTTTAAACATATAGATAGAATAGCTGATTGATTGTTTCATGAACTGATTTTTAATTGCCTTTTCTTTCTTTTTAAAGCTTGGGTTCCTACAGACTAATGATTCCAAGAAAAGCAGTGCTCAACCTTAAAATCAGAAATGTTTTTAGTGGATTTGTTATTTTCAAGGCAACATAGACTTTTTTTTTTTTTTTGTCAATTTATATTTCAGGGGAAGCACTTGATTCCTTGAATTGAAAATAAAAGTATGTCCTGTAGTTCCACTTAAGAAATCTTTCAGTCATATCTTGCTTATCCTTGATGATAAGATACTGTCACTTTCTCAGAAAATGTGTGAACTCGAAGGAAGGTGCCAGAAATCCATACATGTAATTCCTAGCTAGTTTTTAGAGCACCTTGAAATTGATGTGATATTATTAATGACAACAAGAACATTAAAATATTTAACCTAATTTTTCTGTAAGTGACTATATGGTCTTTATGACTGGTAAGCATGTATTACATAAATTGTCTATGGAATTTTCTTCTGCATTATAACAGACCAATTTGTGTTAAGACAGCTTTGGTCCACCTAGTGAAGAGGGAATGAGGGTAAGCAGTAAAATGTTAAATCAAGCTGTCCCAGAGAAGAAAATCCAAAGGACAGAATATGGAATTATTTCAGCTATTTTGCTTATCTGTTTTGCAACTTAGGCCTACCTGCTAAGGAAAATTGATGAACTCATCCTCAAGGGTGGATAAACTTATTGATGTTGTAGGTAATAAACGAGGTACTCATTTCAATACAAAAGACTTGGAGTCAATGGGATATCATTTTTGTGATTCTCTCTTGGACTATTGTGATCCAGACCGAACCAAGGTAAGCGAAGTCCACTTGGGAATGGTCTGGTCTCTGAGACAATAAACAGCCTCCAGGCCTACAGCACTTTCACCTTTCCAATATCCTGGTAGTGTTCAGGGGTTGTTTGGTACTTGTGACCCAATAGCAATTGTTCCAGATGTTTTATTAGAAAATAAAGTTATTTTACAATTAACTCACTTATCATTTTACCCTAGTATTACCAGTGCCTGAAAGAACTAGAAGAAATGGAAAAGCATAGAAGCTTAGAAAAAGCCCTTGAGGACTCAGATACTTCTCTGAAGGAAATTACATTGGATCTAGAATCTAGGTAGGTCAAAGGGTAGAAGTCACGTGCTTTGTGGAACTGTTTCACTGTGCTCCTTGGTGAATGCTAGGATATAATTTTCAATCTCAACTGAAAATCCTGTCTGTAGGTAGAGAATTTTTCCTGTGCACACTCTGGTCAAACCTTCTCAAGACTTCATGTATTCAAGTGATATTTATCAAGCTCAAATTAATCATGCTCAAATTATTTTCAGTGCTTCCATTACCCACAAGGACTGACACATTATTTATAGAGATGCCACAATCATACTCTGAGTAATGAGCACAATTCAATGTTAAAGAAATGTTGCTGGAAGAAGGAAGGTACTAGTTTTTTTTTTGTTTTTTAATAACAGCAATGCTGACTGGTTTTGTTTTTTTTTTTTTTTTAAGATTTATTTATGCCTACAGAAATGGGGTATAGGCCAGAGGTGCAGGGACAGTGAGAGGATTTACCAGTGACAGAGTAGGGAGCAGAATAGACCAGAGTACACTGCTGAGGGAAGCAGTGGGCGGGTCAGGAGAGGTCTGCCCACGCCACAAGAGTCACCTCTGAGGTGGGGATCGAACTCATGCCGAAGTGGCTTTAGCTTCTTAGTCCTGTGTTTTAACCTGCTGTGCCACCAGGTAGGGCCCGGATGGTACTAGTTTTAATGCATTCATATGAAAGACCCAACAAATGTTTGTTAGAAAATTTCAGCCTCCAGGTTAATGCCCCTTCAACCTCCAGTGGTGACTGATAAGCTGATTGCAGATGGAGAGTACCACTTGGAATTCATGGATTTTTTTGTGTTTTGGTCAACTTTGGTTACTCTAAGATGCTAGAACTGCTAAGCAGCTACAACACTTTTGTTAACTTTAATTAGAACTGTTTATGCACTTCCAATAAGATAATAAAGTAACAGTAGAAACTTTTAAATGCCACCAATACAATTGTGTGAACTATAATTTTGTCTTGCAGTAGTCGAGGCTCTGACAGTTCAGACTCCAATGATTCTCACACTTACCTTCTCAAGTTAACTTCCCAGGTATGACTGAAAGTTTTTGTCTATGTTATGTATATGCTAACTGGATGCCTTCAGCTTCCAGAACTATGACTGTTCAATTTCTGTTATTTATAAGCCAGCCAATGTGCAGTATTGCCATGTGGTAGCCAAGTGGACTCAGACATTCTATTTTTAGTCTTGACAATAGTTTTCTATTGCTGGGTGACACATTACCCCAAATCTTAGCAGCTCAAAACAGCAAACATTATCTCACACAATTTCTGTGAGTCAGTTATCTGGGAATGGCTTACCAGGGAGCTTTTATCTAAGGACTGCAGTGAAGATGTTCTTCATTTTCCTGTGAAGTCTTGACTGGGAAGAAGTCATCTTCTGTTTCACACACATGGTTGATGACAGAATTCAGTTCCTCACAGTTCCTTCATGGCTGCTAGCTGAAGGTCTGCCTCAGTTCTTGGTCACATGGGTTTCTCCATAAGCAGCTACAACGTGCCCCTGGCTCTCACAGCTGGCTCCCACAGCTGGCTTCCATCAGTGACCAAGCAAGAGAACGAGTGAAGGTACATGTGAGAGACGCTACAGACACACTCCAGCCACGTCTCAGAATCTTTCCTTTGAGGTAAATCACTAGGTTGAGCCCACGCTCAAGGGGCGAGGCTCCCACAGGGCATGAATACTAGGAGACAGGATCTTTCCAGGCCTCCTCAGGATTGCCTACCACCATGTAAAAGTCACAGCTTTGATTTGCCTTAAGGCTGTGTTAGCCAACCTGAAAGCTCTAGAATTTGGAGCTTTCTGTTTTCCCTCTCAGCTCAGTTTTTTTTAAATCCAAGTATAATTTTCACCCACTTCTTACAACACTTTATCAGCTCTTACCCTAAGCATTTTGCCCTGAAGTGTCTTTGTACAGTGACCCAGGTCTGTTAAGTACCCATTTTGTACTTTGTACAATTATAAAAACAGTTCTACTAAATTTATCATCTCTACATAATTTGAGCCATTTTCCAGTTTCCATTAACAGTTTCCTTTCTGCCTATTGTTACCCACTCACAAAGCCAATAATTATTCATCACATAGGCTAGGTTTCCATTAGAACATCCTATTCTAGGTATCAATTTCTATGTTACTCATGTTTTACTATATTAAAACAAAATCAAAAAACGAAAACAAAATCCTAGACTTTCCAGTAGCAAACACCTGTTTTCTTGTCCATGATTGGCAGATAAGCTGTGACTCTGCTGGGTGAATCAAGGCTCAGTTGTTCATAGCTCAAGACTACTGATGTGGATGCAGGTTGATTCCACACACTCTTCTGGCCTCCAGAGTGTCATGAGATTCTGCTGAACTTATTGAGGGTTCTTGCATGGAGCCATTTGCTTCTGTCTTGCTGCTCTCAAGAGTCTCTCTGTCTTTGGCTTAGAAGTTTAATAATGATCTTGGTTTAGGTTTTGTAAATCTGGCTTTCTTGGGGTCGGGGTTGCTGGCTTCTCCAGCTTGAAGGCTGCGATATAGGTGGCAAAAAGTAAACTGCTCTGCTCTCCTGCTCCTGCCTACCTCCTTCTTTCCTGCTAAAGCTTCTTATATATAATGCCAAGAGCTTTTAGTAAGAGGATGGAAGTACTTTTCCATATCCCTGGAAGTGTGTAAATCTCAAGATAGTTGTGCTTATTAAATATTGATTTTAAATGATTATTTTATTTAGATAAAGAAAAATAAGAAATATCTGAAAACAAAGAAGGAAAGAGATTCTACCATAGCAAGACATAAAAATGTCAGCAAAGAGCAAGAGGTAAATATTTATTAATCTGGTTAACAGTTTTTGGAAATACGATAGCTAGAGAATAACGAGCTTTTCCCTTGATATTACTTATACCCTAATTATCCCCCCAAGAAAGTCAATGGTTAAAGTTTTGTTTGTATTATTTGAATATTTATAAAAACAAAAAAATTATTTTGGAAACAAGCCCTCTAAATGATCTAAGTGTGCCAAGTCATTTGCACAATAATCAAAGTAGGCTTTGGTTTGGGGTTTTAAATTTTTTGTATGTAGATAGTAAAAGTCACATTTTTTTGCTGTCATGAACATATCCATATAATAATTCTCTGCATCTACCCAAGCCAAGTTTTAGATATTGCTGAACTTATTGAGGGTTTTTGCATGGAGCCATTTGTTTCTTAGAAGTTTGATAATGATCTTGGTTTAGGTTTTATAAATCTGGCTTACTTGAGGTGGTAAACTCCTTTATGTTAAATGTTCATGGTTGTTCATCTTTCTAAGTTAGAGCTTTAAAATTGGTATGATATTGGAAGGGAGCAAGAAATAATTTTCCCTCTATCCCCCTGAATTCTTGACTGTGCCATCCCTATAATAAAAGATACATTAACAATAGAAAAACAAAAGCACAAATGCATGGATCCTCCCGTGCACCTGAGAAGAGCCCCAGGAAACAGATATAAGTCACCTACACGGCTGGAGCCGCCCCTCCAACAACATTCGGGCTAAGAACTAAGGAAGTGAGGAGGGAGAGGGAGGCCAGCTACCAGAAGGGGCGGGGAGTAGAACTGTGGTTGATGAGCAGGTCTAAGGCGTCAAGAGCCTCTTATGGCAATACAGCCAGGGGGCGCCCTTCACTGACAGAGATTTCCCCTTATACATCGAATATCTCTTACAAAAGAGGAACTTCGCAGTTTTCAGAGCTTTTCCTCTATCTGTGGTTTCTTAGGAATAATTGTCCTAAAATAATCCTTATGCCAAAGAGGAATATTTTGCTCCCCTACAAACTTATAATCTATAGTTACTGATGGAAAATAATTGTCATTTTGGTCATTTTAGGAAGTTGTGTAGAATCTAAATGTGCTCATAAGGTAATAGTTTAAAAAAAGATTTATTGATTTATACATAAAAGAACTGAGATGCAGGCCAGAGGTGCAGGAGGAGCAGGTGGAGGGGTGAGCAGATTCATCAGAGACAGAGTGGGGAGCAGAACAAGCAGATCCACTGAAATACACTGCTGAGGGGAGCAGTGGGCGAGTCAGGAGAGGTCTGCCACGCCATGTGGGTCAGCTCCCTGGCCGGGGATCGAACATATGATGCAGTGGCTGCAGACAGCTTAATAGTGCTCCCCTTTAACCCCTTGTGCCACTAGAGAGTCCCCAGTAATAGTAGTTTTAATCCTTGGTCCTGAGATTTATTTTTTAATAAATAAATCCTTGTCACATAACCCTACTTCTGAGTAAGAACCCCAATTTACTTTCCTCTATATAGGTAAGGGCATCAGGACAAAATGCAAAATGTTGAAAGCCACTATACCCTAAATCATATAGGAAATATACTTCATCTTCATGTTTTCACAGTTTTCTTTTCCTTCGGATTCTGTGTTCCATTAGGTTTGCAATAAAGGAGAAACTGTGCGAAAAGAACAAGAATCAAATTCTAATGTGAAAGGTAGCGCTCTGTTTCTATCCTTTCATAAACAACGTATTTAGTCAATAATCACTTTTTTCATGCCACAACGTTGAAGTTTCCATTGCGCTCTGTGCTGTGGGAATCCTTGGAAGTTAAACTGCACTATCTTGCCCCAGGCGCTCAGCTTTAATGGGAGAAGGAAAATCAGTAAACAAGATAGTGTGGTGTTGGCACATTGCCAATCTGGACAGGTTCCCAGGACACCCAGGAAAAGGACTGGTCAGGTCCTGCGGGCCTGGGAGACGCCAGCCTCCAGAATGCAGGACGTGAACGTTTGAAGCCAACGGTTCACAAACTTGAGGGGTAGCCCTGATTTGAAAGATTTTTTTCACCAAACAGAATATATGGATTTCATGTTTTAAAAACCATCTCATCCTCTCATTTTATAATTCATTCAAAGATGAGGCCCAGGAGAGAAATTGAATTACATTTGCCTCTCCTGGAATCTACTAAGTCTGACTCTTCACTTTACTGGTATTTTTAAAAAATTTCTCTCTGTTCTTAAAGTTCTATGAAAAATATTCATATAATTTAAGCAGTATTTTTACTTCATCTAAATTTTATGTGTATATGTATATCAATTTGCGACATTTTTATCCCACACTTATACCCAGAACATACTTTTTTAAATATGTACATGTACATATAAAGTATATTACTTTATAATATACCAAACTAATTAAGAATAGAAATGGAAATTTTTTGACAGACACCCCAAGGAAAAAGAGAATTCTGTTATAATTAAGATGGTGCATTCACTTGAACTTTTAAATAAACCAACTTTTATTCAAAGGTAATACAAGTAAGACATGTTTTGGTCATTTGTAAAATGAGATTAATCAAAGATCTTGGAAAAGTTTTATCTGATTTATATACTCTCTGTCTTCTGTTAATAGCAGCTAAATTAATACATAAAAGAAAAATATCTTTAAGACCACTCAAATTCAATCCCATACATTTATTATAGTCATCAAAATTTGTAGTGTTTGTACCAAATTGTGTCTTTAAGAAATTAAAAATATACACCAAAACATGACCAACACTGAACAAAAGAAAATATAAGTAAGGATAATTTATTTTAACTTAAAAAGTTTGACATCTACATATTCATTTGAACTTTATTCTTTCTGATAGTGATCAGCCAATCAAATTAGCCATCTTAATATATATATATATACAGGCTAAGTATATATATGTGTGTGTATATATATGTGTGTGTATGTATATATATATATACACACACATATATATATATATGTGTATATATATATATAGTCTTCTGTTAAAAAGTTTAATGTCAGTGTCACCAGAATTTCTACTATATTAGCTAACATTCTTTTTATTGTTAAAAACTATTTTAATTGGATTTTCTGCCATTTGCTGTCCCACACATTGTAATTAATAAAGTTGTAAACTAAATGTTCATTATAGTAAAAAAAAGTAATGTCAAAAATTAGAAATAAAAACACATTTTAGAATGCTAATATCCCTTTTTCTATCACTGTACACATACACTTCATATTAATCGCACAATCTTCATTTTGGACCTGCATTATTATTTAAAGTTACAGTATATATAAACTTTTTTACATGTTAATAAATGGTGACAAAGGACTCCATTGTTAAATTTGTTTTGTTTTGTTTTGTTTACAATTTTTCTTTTTTAAACAATGAAGGCCTTATAATTCTCTATTTGTATATACTGTCTATTAGTAATTTACTTCCAAGAAAGAAATTATAGACCAAAGGGGTATGAACATTCTTTAGATTTTTGCTATAAGCAGCAAAATTTATACATTATATAATATTTTTCATTTAGAAAATTGTAAAAATATGAGGTATAATAGATCAAGGAATCATGTTCATGCTATTAACAATCTTTTACCATCTTTTCTAGATACAAGGCCAAACAAATCAGATGCTTGTATATTTAATTTTTTCAGAACAAAGTTCCCTACTCAGACTTTGAGTGAGTAAAATAGGAATAAATGGTCATTATCATCTGAATGTGAACGTCTTAATAATATGCGTCTGATCAAGATCAAAACCTAAGAGACTAGATTATCTTAAACCTGGGTAGCTGAGGAACAAGTCCCCTTCATAGAAGTTCTGAATCTCAAATTTTAATTTTTCTCTCTACTCTAGAAATATATAGAAGCAGTCAATAGAAACTCATTATTTGTCCATTTGCTTTCCTGTAATTTTACCTCGTCCAAAAGTAAAACCATTTCATCTCATTGTCTACACTTGGTAGCAAGTAGTTTACCAAATGACAATTCAGTTCATTACCTAGACAGAAATAGCACTGAGAAAGCTTTTTATTTTGTCAAAGCCCATATCCCTATAAATTTCATTCACCATTTTAATAACACAAAATCCCCACTCACCAGAGACAGAGTGGGGAGCAGAACACGAAGATCAACAAAGTACACTGCTGAGGAGAGCAGTGGGTGAGACAGGAGAGGGCTGCTGTGCCTTATGGATCACCTCCTGGGGCAGGGCCAGGGTAAGGGATAGAACTTGCACTGAAGTGGCTGCGGCCAGCTTGCAGTGCTGTGCCCTAACCTGTCCCGCCACTAGGGAGGGCCCTCCGTTTAGATTCTGAACACCTATTACCAGTAACTTCAACTTGATCTCCTTAGCACCAGTATTATCATCCTAAGTCCTCCTTTCCTGCCATCATAAAAGTGATTTATCAAAGCCATAAATCTGATTATGTAGTACCATTCCCTAATAGCTTCCTCTAATTCCCAGCTTCCTAATCATGGTTGAAGTTAGCTCAGTCTGAAAATTTAAAGTATTTTAGGCTTTTCCTTTTCAAATTTTTATTTAATTTTGAAACAATTTCTAGAACAAAGAACTAGTTTTTCCCAGCCCATTTTTTGTCGATATCCTACTCCTGTATACATTAAAAAAAAAAAATCAACTTATGTAATTCAAGAACAAGAATGTTCTTACACAAAAATCAAGAAATTCAACTTTGATATAGTAATATTTTATCTCTTACTATAGTTAAATTTTGCCATACATCCCAAAGGATACTTTAGAGCAAAATTTCTCTCCTGAATTATGAGTTACATTTTATTATAATAACCATTTATTCTCTTTTTACTTGAAATAGCCACTCAGTCTTTTTTGGTCATTCATAGCACTGACATATTTGAAGATTATATTACAGGCCAGTTGTTTTAGGGAAATGTCTGTTTTAAAATTGTAGTGTACATGGGCCCTTCCCTGGTGGCTCAGCAGGTTAAAGCACAGCACTAAGAACCTAAAGCCACTTCAGCACGAGTTCAGTCCCCACCTGCCCCGGAGGTGACCAACATGGCACCGCAGACCTCTCCTGACCCACCTGCTGCTCCCCTCAGCAGTGTACCTGTTCTGCTCCCCATTCAGTCTCTGGTGAATACTCTCACCGTCCCTGAACCTTTGGCCTGTACCCTAGCTCTGTATGCATAACTAAATTTTTAAAAAGGAAATTTTAGTGTACAGAAGAGTTGTCTGGAAAACCTAAAAAAATCTCAGCTTCTAATTCTAAGTTGATCTTTGTTGTCAAACTCTTTTTTTTAATTTATTTTTTATTAGATAATTCTGATATTGGCGATTCACACACTGCACTTTGCAGCTCTCCACTTTGAGGGTTATAATTGGAGTTGATGGGAGGAGGCTAACCAACTGAAACCTAGACATCTGGTTTTTATTCAACCTGAATAGCTTTCTGGTGCATTTTTTTCTTTTAATAATGGCTGTTACTTTTTAAAACAATGTTGACAAGTACTAGCAGCTGCATAGAAACCTGACAAGCTCTGAAACATGACACACAAGACTTCCAGTGACCTGGCCCCTGAGTCCCCCTCCAATTTTTTTTTTAAAGATTTATTTTTATTTATGCATACAAGAACCAAGATACAGGCCAGAGGACAGTCTGATCAACTGAAATACACTGCTGAAGGGAGCAGGGGGGAAACAGGAGAGGTCTGCTGCTCATGTGGGTCTCTCCCTGGTCAGGGACGGAACCCGTGCTCCATTGGCAGTGGGTAGCTTCATGGTGCTGTGCTTTAACCTCTGGCACAACTAGAGAGGTCCCCCACCTCCAGTTTTACCTCCTGCCATCTCCCCTTTTTAAGCTGTACCACTGTAAAGATGATCTACCTCAAAATATGTCAGCCTTCTCACTTCCTTGGCTTCGTTCATGCTATCATCTCCACCTGAAACATAATTGTCCCTTTCTTCAATTAAATTAGCTCTTATTTAAGGAGTAGGAATAAGGTTTAATAAGACCCATATTCAGTTCATTATAATATGAGTTAGACTGAGTGATAATGATAGATGGTTGTTGTACTTGCTCAGAGAGGGGGAATCTAAACCAGTCTGGAAATTTCAGGGAATGTGTTCTCGGAAGAATTGATCCTTAAATTATAACAAGGTAAACATGTAGCACTTCTTTGAATTCTTAAAGATTGTTGACAATTGTTTTACAATCTTATGTGTAAATTATTTCTTTGCTTGGGGTGTAATATGTCTGGGACTATAGATAACTCATTTGGAATCTTTTGACTTCTTTCATCTCTTACCAATATTTACTCTAGAAATTTTCTAGAAAACACAGAACAACCTAAGAGCTGAGGGATTTTGCTGTTTGTCATCCACTAGTGCTTTAAAATAATGCAGTAGAACCAGTATAAACACCGTTGGTATATTTTCATCTTGAATATGACTAAGTAAAATTTACTTCTTCCTTCTTAGTATTTTTCCATAGTTCACTTGATATTTTAACCTTCTTCCACTGTTCCTCTATGTCACAGCCTTTCTCTTAAAATCAATCATTGTTATGTAAGCTCCTTTCATCTCTTTTTGTGTCTTTTCAAAATAAAATGTTTATCTGCTTTCAGAGGTCTCAAGTAAAACTAGGTAATGGGTATGCAGATACTGAGACACTGTGGGAAATAAAATATAACCTGTTCTCAAATAGCAGAGAAAATGTCAAATTACAGACAATACAACATAATGAGATTAATGCTATTTACTTTTTTATAGGGTTACAGACCAGTTGTTTGAGGATATGGGAGGACCAGAGAAATTTTCTCAATAAAGGTAATTATTGGGATCCCAAGGAACAAACACATAGCACTTTGCTTTATCTAAAATTCTGAATCTCTTAATAAGACAAATACTAGCAAACTGAATCCAGCTACATTTAAAATGAATTATATATAATGAACAAGTAGGATTGTTCAGAAATGCAAGGTAACATTTGAAAATTAAACAGTATACTCTTCATATCAATACAGAATAAGAAACAACATGTACTTGGTCATCTCAACAGATAAAGAAATAGTGTTTTTGGCAAGATGCAGCATCTTTTATGACTTAAGAAAAAACACTTGACAAAGCAGGAATGGAGAGGGTCTTCTTCAGCCATCTACAAAAATCCCATAACTAATATCAGAGTTAATGGTGTACTACTGAAAGCTGCCCCCCTAAGATTAGAACCAGTACCAGGATGTCTGCTCCTATTGTAAGGGAGAATAAGACAGGGCAATTTGATAAGAAGAATAAATAAGACATCCAAGCTGGAATGAAGTAAAATTATCTCTATTTGTACAATGTATGTTTGTATATGTAAAATTCTAAAGAATATACACACACAATTAGAGCTAATTGATGAATTCAGCAAAGTTATAGAGACAAAGATCAGTCTGTAAAAAATCAGTTGTAAGGTGTGTGTTGTATGGTATGTGAATTAAATCTCAGAAATCTGTTAAAAAATCAGTTGTATTTCTGTGTATTGTGAATACTCTGAAGATCTAATTAAGAAAATTCCCTTCACAATAGCATCAAAATGAATAAGACTCTTAGGACTTAATTTCTGAAGCGTGTACACTGAAAACTGCAAAGCATTGTTGAAATATATTTTAAATGATCTAAATAAGTGGAAAGACACTCCCATATTTATGAATCAAAAGACTTATTGTTAAAATAGCAATGCTCCAGAGAGTTAGACTCAGTGCAATCTTTATAAAAATTTCAGCTGCCTTTTGTACAGAAACTAGCAAGTTGAACTTAAAATTCACATGGAAACGTAAAGGACTCAAAATAACCAAGACTATTTGGACAAAGAAGAGCAAAGTTCAAGGACTCTCACTTTCCAATTTCAAAGCTTACTATCAAGTCATAGTGTTACAGGGCAGAGAGAGGCACCCCAGGACGCCCAAACCTGCCTGTTCTAAATAGGTTCTGCCATCCACCACATCAAGACAAAACATCTAAGACCTTTAATGGAAAGGAAACTTAATACAATTAGTGAATAATAAAGAAAAGACAATATACGCCCAAAGTTACTTATCCCCTTGTGGGTAAAAGTCCACCCAACTGGGGTTGGCCAAGAGCAAGGCCTGAAAGCCCATCACAAGTCTAAAGTATCTTCCAGTGGGGACCCACAGAAAAGAGTCAGAAACAGCCAGACAAGTCTGGGAGAAGAGCAAAATCAAAATCTAGATAAAAGCTTGCTATTGTTAACCTCCTGGAGGCTGTCACCCACATGTGTTTCACCCAGTCCAGGACCAAGAAGCCAGCACAGTTTCTTCACAGGTCTTTGCCCCCTCGTGCCCCCTTCCAAGTCTCCTTCTGGCTCCACCCTGCTCCTTCCTTCTCCAGTCTCCTCTCCAGCTTCTACTCCTACCTCAGCACCACTCTCCTTCAGGTAGATACGGAAACCTGGAACCTCCCATTTTCTTGGGGATCACTCCCTAGCACTTGTGGGACTGGCTTAAGGATAGATGTGGAAGTCAGGAAGTAGAATGCAGAATACAAAATAAATCCTTACACTTATTGTCAAATGATTCTCAACCAAATTGCCAAGACAATGAACAGAAAAAGTCTTTTTCAACAAATAGTACCAGTGTCCACATGTACCAGCATGAAACTTTGCTTACACCATGCACAAAAATTAATTCCAAATGGGGATAG